TGTTCTTTTTAAGGTGGGGTTACTTTTCTAGATGCATGAATTTCTGGTGAGATGCTAAGACTACATCAAAACAAAGCTAAGATGGCAGCAGCAGGTTGCACACTTCTGAGGGATCATACGCCAGCCAACAAACCACAAAAAAAAGGAATGCTAACAGATTGCTCTCTCCAGGTTTTATAGACCTCACTGGTTTGCTAAATGTAAACAGTCTCTATCCTCATGCATATTGTAAACATTACTGGATTTACACTGCAAAAAATGATTTTCTTCTTCAGTATTTGTGTCTTGTTTTTGAGCACAAATATCTTAACATTCTTAAATCAAGATACTTTTACTTAAAAGCAAAATGATTTAAGATAGTAAGTTATGTTTTCTGAAAACAAGTTTTTGCTTAAAAAAAAATCTGCCAATGGGGTAAGAAAAATAAACGAGTTTTCCGTTTGAATTAAATGTATTTTTCTCACCCATTGGCAGATTTTTTTTTTTTTATTGTTATAAGCATACACTCATTTAAAGGGATTCCATCACTTTCTCAGAAATGGATGCTCTGCAGTGAATGGGTGCCGTCAGAATGAGAGTCCAAACAGCTGATAAAAACATCACAATAATCCACAAGTAATCCACACCACTCCAGTCCATCAATTAGGAGATGGAAAGTTAAAAACATCTTAATGACGGCTTTGTTTCTTAAAAACACGCAGCTTTTGGCTTCTCAAGATGTGAACTGATGGACTGGAGTGGTGTGGATTACTTGTGGATTATTGTGATGTTTTTATCAGCTGTTTGGACTCTCATTCTGACGGCACCCATTCACTGCAGAGCATCCATTGCTGAGACACTGATGCAATGCTACATTTCTCCAAATCTGATGAAGAAACAAACTCTTTTACTCACCTGATGGTGAGTAAATGTTCAGCAAATGTTCATTTTAGGGTGAACAATTCCTTTAAATTTGGTATATTTTGCAAAAAGAAAAAACACTTCTGAAGCCATTTTGCGTCTCCAGTAAATGTATCTTGATTTAAGAATGTTTAGATATTTATACTAGAAAACAAGACAAAAACGAAGTAAGAAAATAGTTTTTTGTGCAGTGTACCGGCATAATGTGATTGTGACATTGAGGTTTGAGTTAAAAGTTTACACAGACAAGGTCACTAATTCTACACTAGTTGAATATGAACACCTACAATGTGTAGGTGTGTATGCAGTGTGTATGTTTAAGTCTTTTGAGAGAAATTGTAAATGCTTTAGAGCTGAACTTGCACTGAACCCAGAAATCATTCCTTGTGCTGTTCAGATCTAGTCGAGATGCATTTGAAAAGACAAAGATGTCTGGTTAATGCAATGTGACCTGATACTTCATGAACAATCATTACATTTTGAAACAATACACCAGTCAAAGACGTCTGAAAGATGCAGCAGCACATTACCAATTACTCAGTGTTACACATTTAGACAGGATGTTTTCATAGCGCCATTGAACGACAGCCTGCTGAATCAGCAGAAAACAGGCATGAATCAGTCAGACAGCAACAAAAGACAGAAAATCAATGTGCTGCCCTTCATCTAGACACGTCTTTCCATCATGTAGTATCTGTAAGACATCAGTTCTGCTTCGTCTCTGCACACAAAAAGCACAAGAGAGAAGATCTGATCACTGTCTAACTGGAACAATCGTCTGAAATCATTCCCTCGGGTTCGCCTGCGCTCACATTTCGGCACTCTTTACACTTACAGCAGAGCTTCTCAAAGACATCACGCTGCTCGCTTTGGGGCAGCAATCTTATAATTGCGTAAACACAATGGGTTTGTTTAAATCTGAATTCCAATTGTGTTATTATGGAGCGGTTAATAAAAACACTGAGCGCCTCAGCGGAACTTTCTCTGATTCATAAACGCAGTAAACACAGATGCTGAGCATTTCTACTGTTATTGTCAAGGGAAAAGAGATACCGTTCATTTAACACGCATTGACCTTTTGTGAAAAGCTTAAAATGAGCTTTCTAACAGCATGTTTCCGTTGTGACAACATGCCCCACTGCGGTGGAAACGTGACATTAGAAAGCTTATTTTAAGCTTTAGAAAGTAAATTTTAAACAATTACAAAACACAAAGCAGAAACACGGTACACTGTAAAAAATTATTTTTCAAAGTTGTAAAAGTTTATTGGAGTATGTTTTAGAAGAAAATACTTCATACTTCAAAATTTCACGTTTTATTTAATGTGTTACTTTTCTTTGTAATTATTTGTGAAACTTGCTAGCAATTTCTGAGTGAAAATTGTTTCTGCACCTATTTTTTTCTGTGTTCACTGTGAAATGATTTTTTGAAGTTGTAAATAAAACAAAAAATAATTGGAGAATGTTTAACAATAAAGTACTATTTCAGTCTTTCTACTTAAAAGCTTTGTGTTTTGCTGTTTCTTTGTAATTATTTGTGAAATTTAATATCAATTTCTGAGTGAAAACTGTTCTCAATTTTTTTTTTCAGTGTACACACAAAATATCAAATCATTGTTTGGGCCAATAGATATTAAAATTAATAAACTGAATTAAATAACTGATTATTTATTAAATGTAAAAGCTATCTTCTACACTAAAATTTTTTTTTATATATTTACTTTGAAACAATTTTCGCTCAGAAATTGCTAGTAAATTTCACAATTAAGCACAAAGAAATGACAAGTAAAAAGTCTGAAATAGTATTTTCCTGTAAAACATCCTCTAAAAGACTTTGTTTTATTAACTACTTAGAAAAGTCACAAAGAATCAAAAGCAACTCTGAAATGTTTTTTTTTTTTACAGTGTATCTTATAATTGTGTGACAACTAGCCCCGGTCTCCTCTGTAACTAGTGTTTAAAGGTGTTTGCTCTTTGCTTCTAACCCTCGGAGGAGGAAAGTCGATCCCTCTCTGCCGACTCGCCTCAGGTTTCCTTCTTTCAGTACAGGAGAGGATCAGCTCAGGTAACATGGGAGTTTATGTGCCCTAACACTCAACTCACTCCAGTTTTTCATTTACTCTGACTTGGCACGAGCTCAAATGTATCAGTGAAACAAGTGTGAAATGAATGTTGTTCTGTTGTAAATTCTGGTGAATCACCTTCCCTTTGGGTGAAGACGCTGCTGAGATTTTTGAAGTGGAAACAATTTGCATATAATCATGAATAATTCATGAGGCCTGCTCTGAGCTACAGTTTTCCAACTAAAACAAGGCACATTAAGAAAAGTAAATACTCCATTGCCATTTGCAGTGCCGTGACCTTAAAATCATGAGGTTAATTTAAACAGGACTTGTGGAAATGATTAAAATCTGATAAAAAAATATTTTTGGAAATGCAGTCTCTATGAAATTACAACCGGGCAAGTCATAGAAATTAAATTGAAAAAAAAAGAGAAATTATTTAATTGAAAATAATAAATCATTAAAACATGTTATTGAAATTCATTGGTCAAAATGATGAGAATCCTGTTTAAAACTTGCACTGGCATTAAACATTTTTATGTAAATTGCACTTTAATTTTAAATATGTTTTTCATTTTACTAAATAATAATATATGCTTTTAATATACATTACCTTATGTAACTAAAGTACATCATAAAAACAGAAGTTTCATCTAATGTTCTGTCTGCACATCTGCGATGTGACGTGATAAATGATAAGTGTGTATTGTTATTGGGGGCGTGGCCATTGGCTCTAGCTCCTGAATATTTAATTAAGTAGGCCCAGGCAAGGAATGGCTGTATATATGTATATGGACTTAAAATAATTGTTGTTGGTAATTATTATAGATTTTTGTGTGTGTTTACAGTTCTGTTAACTGTTATGCTGTTTTGTATTGATTTCTAACTACTGAGTGTCTGCTGTAACTGAGCTCACCCTTGTTCACATGCAAAAAAAAATGTCACGTTCATATTTTGGTCTGTTATAAATTAAAGACAGTAAGACCATTCTTTTCTTTTTGTTTGACTGTGTAATTTAAGTTGTAGTCTCTTTAGGTTGTGTTGTGATCCACACACTGGATACTGAAAAAATGGTGTAGTATTTGACAATTTTCACTGAGAAATTGCTATTAAATTTCACAAATATTTACGAAGAAATGCCACGTATCACATTAAATTAAACGTGACATTTTGAAGTAGAAAAGCTGAAATAGTAGCCTATTATGAACTCAAATAATAATGCAAAAATTGTATAGCTTTTATAAGTTTGTGCAAAAATGGAAACTTGCAATGCCAAAAACCCACAGGAAAATGGCTGCATATTAATTTATCGATTGATTGATTGTTATTTCCAGCAACGAAGAACTAATAGGCTATTTTTCTGTGAATGTGCGAGACGTCCGATTCATTAGTCGCTATAAGAATAACAAAGCGCAGCAAATGGTAAAACTACACTCTAAAAAATGCTGGGTTGTTTCAACCCAACGTTGGGTCAAATATGGACTAACCCAACATTTGGGTTTAAAATTTAATTGAAAAATTTAACCCAACAGCTGGGTTAGTCCATATTTGACCTAACGTTGGGTTGAAACAACCCAGCATTTTTTAGAATGTACCCGTGTGTTTATGAATACCGTAATAAATTAAAATAATATGATAAGAAACAACAATTGGCTATAATGGACTTACATTAAAAAGGTGGATAGGAGTACAAACTGGACAGTCCTAATGTAAAATTTTAATTAGTAATGAAATTAACACGATTAGATAGTTGCTCCTTTAGTTAATAACACACACTCTAAAAATGCTGGGTTGTTTCAACCCAATTTTGGGTCAAATATGGACTAACCCAACTGTTGGGTTAAATTTTGGTTACATTTTTAAATTAACTTTTTAACCCAACAGTTGGGTTAGTCCATATTTGACCCAAAATTGGGTTGAAACAACCCAGCATTTTTTAGAGTGCATAAACAAGTTTAATGGTTTTTAGCTATGGTTAAATGATCTCATTTATCATGTACATTTGTTTACTTTATTGAACTGTAGGCTCGGTTTCTACCTGTTCCGGCCCCTGGAAGCATATCCTGCACACCGGGGTTCCTTCTGCATAGCTGATGAAGGAGAATCTGTCATCCCTCCGGTCCTTGGGGAACTCCTCCGCCGCGGCACCCGTCCACCCGGATCCATCCGCAGCCTCCTCCGGCCCGACAGCGTCCTCTGTGGACGGGGTACTCCAGTGCCGGAGCCGGTGGGCTCGTAAGGTATTGTTGTTATCCGAGGCATACGGGCTGATTCTGGCCGTTTCACCGCTCATGGGGTTTGTAGGAGCCTGTGGCCCGAGCAGAAACACCTTGAGGTCACTGAAGAGAACGCAACAGCGGCTCTTCAGCATGCCCTGACCGCGCAGCATCCAAGAACGGGGAGAATCGAGACTGTCCGGGATCAATTAGTGCTCGGTTATAGACTCCCTGTTAGTTTAGGCTGTGAAAAGCGAATGCATGAAAGCCATGGTAATCCGGAACGATTGCAACACGCTACAATTGAGAACTTAAGTGGTGCATTAAAGTCGCAACCTGCATTAAGTTCATTGCACTTTTTGGAATTTTGCTTAAAATTGATTGCAAGTTAAACGGAGAAACAAAGATGCTTTTGTGAAATATTTAAGTGCACATCTATATTGCATTCTGAATTAGATAAAAAAATTATAATGAAAAGGCAGTAAACAGGTGTCAGAAGCCATAAGATCGATTCATTCCAGTGGGTTTGAGATCTATGTGTCCTCCTGCAAAGCAAAGCTTCAAAGGCGCATGCCACATGTGTTAAAGCATCCCTCAGTGGTGTGAAATCATTCAGGTAGCCTAGATAGTTTCTGCAGGTGATGTTTCTTCTTGCGCACGCCGCATGTCTTCGGTCGCTTCAAGGGGAAATGTTATTCTGCAGCAGCTTTTCGCGTCGTGTTCGCGCGATTCCTTAGGACAATTCATCGGGGATCTGTAATCCGATCGCGCCGTGAGTTTGGGTTCCGCTGAACGGTGTCGGAGTGGCTCCGTGTGACTGATGCGGCGGTTTCAGTACCGTGATTCCCGGGACAGCGCACGAGCACACGTCACACACGCGGAGAGAGAGAGAGAGAGAGACATGCATGCTGACACAGAGAGAGAGAGAGAGAGAGAGAGAGAGAGAGACATGCATGAGAGAGAGAGAGAGAGAGAGAGAAACGTGCTGACTCTGGGCTTGAAGTTGCCTGTCAGTCTGGTGTGAACTGTGTAACTTCAATTATTTACACAGTGACTAATTTGTGCATTATACATAATAGCATTGTGTTTTGGCGTTTTTAGAGACTCACTCAAGGATGTCATTTGCTAGTAAAGAAAAAAAATATATATATATAATATATATATATTATGATTTACTTCAGTTACTAATTAATTGACTACAATCAAAAATGCATTACTCGTAATAATGACATACATGAAAAATGCACCACATGTAGCCTATCTGTTTTCAAATATTACAATTTTGCATGTTTTAAGTAAATTTTATTTCAAAAAGTGTTAATTTAAAATTTGTGCACATATTAAATTGCATTATAGCTGTTGTGAAAAGTCAGAAGCGTGTGGATCCATTTGCAGCTTTTATATTGTCGTTGGAGATGGAATGGATGGTTTCCTCAGTTTGGCGAGAGAGAGCGTCAGCCTTGGTATTCTTGGTGCCTGGCCGGTATGTCTAATAGTGTTCATTCAAGACTCATTCAAGGTGTCATTTGCCAATACATTTTATATTAAAAATCGATTACCAAGTATAAAAGTGTCAATTTTGGTAAACAAAGAAACAAAAAACAACAACTATATTATCTTTATCTATCTTCATGTACCTCTCTAAGTAGCTAAATCTGGCATCTCTTTTTTCATCTCTTTTTTTATTTATTTTTTAATTGTGTGTGTGTGTCTGTGTGATGTGTGAACATGTTTTTCTATCCTGGTGGGGACTTAAACCTGAATACACACTGACTTATGGGGACTCGTGTCACCGTGGGGACCTAAATTTAGGTCCCCATGGGGAAACAAGCTTATAAATCATACAGAATTAGTTTTTTGGAGAATGTAAAAATGCTGAAAGTTTTCTGTGAGGGTTAGGTTTAGGGTTGGTGTAGGGCGATAGAAAATATGGTTTGTACAGTATAAAAACCATTATGCCTGGAGAGTCCCTATGTGTGTGCGTGGTCCCTGACAAATAAATAAGAACAAAAAAAAAAAACTTTTTAATATTACATTCAAATTGTATAATTTTATCAAACAGAATGGAATGTTTTAAAGTGAAAAAACTTTACAACTAACAACTAATACCTAACATCTAAGTCACTTTTGTAAATATCTATCTATCTATCTATCTATCCATTTTTTTATTGTACGTTTGCAGCGAACACTTTAAGATACCTATGTCTAGATACAAATATTCACTTAAAAAAAATACACCTTAAAAATAACATTTTAAGCCTTAGAAATAAAAATATAGGTTACCCTTAAAATATTCATGGAGAAAGCGTGATAACTAGCTCCAGACTAAAATATAACCTATGTTTTTCTAAGCAGCGGTAATAATACAAGAGCTCAATTTCGCTTCTTTTTTATTCCAAAGCGCATTTACCAACAATGTTATTATTACTGTATTAAAATAAGCGTGTTGACCCTTGGTCCCACCCATTTGTCACATCTAGCCTCCCCATTGGAGAAGGTTAGCGTCCATCACAGTGCGTCCAGCAGCGCGACGTTACGCCGTGGCGTCATATCCTCTTCAGCGCTTCGTTTGAAGTAGATGGTAAAGTGTATCTCTATAACCAATAATAATTAATCTAATTTTCACGCGTTTGTTAGATTACTCCGTTAGCAAAATGTAAACATTTGATGACTCGTATTTGAATTAGATAACTTGATTTGACTGTTAAACCCTCTATGGTGTGTGTGACAGCATTTAAAAGCGACCGGCTGCTTAAAGTACTGTAAACAACGATAGTAAGAGATCAGCAGAGTGAGAAGATCGCAGCCGGATCTAGAGCTGATATATGAATATATGTGAACGTTTAAAACTCGACATGTGTGTGATTTGCTCTTCTGCGTCTTAGGAAGGGCTCGGTCGGAATCAGTAACTGCAGTGATGTCTGTGAACCTGACTCCAGAACAGCAGCGGAGGATCGAAAATAACAGACAGCGAGCTCTGGCTAGAAGAGCCGAGAGACAGGCTCTGCTGATACCCGGATCTGCCCAAAGCAAGCACACACAGCCGGGTACCACAGGAGGCCCTGCAAAGAGCAGCCAGCTGTTTGCACCTGGGCATCTGGTACATACAGGGGCCCCTGATCAAGGTGCAACACAGGTGGGCACCAGAAACCGCTCTGTCCGGGCTCAGAAACTACTCTGAAATAGTTTGTTTTTATGTTTAAGTGTCAGATAGGCAATGTGCAATGTGAATAATGAAATGTGAGACTACTTAAGAGCCTGTCAGGCAGGAACCAACTGACCTCTACAACCAAAAATGCATAATTAATACGACTGACATATAAAAATGACCTTATCTGTGCATTTTTGTCGATGTTTTATGTGGAAAAGTGATCATTTAAAATGTGTACACATAATTGCTATGATTAAGTTGCATTATACATAACATGACTGCATCCTAAAAAAACAAAAACAAAAAAACTTTGCTTTCTCTTTCCTTAATCCCCCCGGTCTAGTACTTGTACTAATCTGAACAGTGTCTGAAACTTTGTATTACGAGCACTTACTGTGATGAATCGCTTGTTGTATTCCTCAATAGTAAATCGCTTTGGATTAAAGCGTCTGCTAAATGAATCAACGTAAATAACAGTATTGTATAATAGTCCTTTTTAGGGTTTTTAGAGAGACATTTAAGGGTGTAATTTGCTAGTAAAGTTTATATTAAAAATTGATTACCTGGTAGAAAAGTGAACATCGGTAAAAAATACAATATTATATTATTAACCCTATAAAGCCTACTGTATCATATGATACTCTAAATGATCAACATGATCAAAACATTGCTGTACTACATACACTGCTGTTCAAAAGTTTGGGATCAGTGAGATTTTTAATGTGTTTTAAAGAAGTCTCTTCTGCTCAGCAAGGCTGCATTTATTTGATCAGAAATACAGAAAAAACAGTAATATTGTGAAATATTATTGCAATTTAAAATACTGGTTTTCTATTTTAATATACTTTAAAATGTAATTTATTTCTGTGATCAAAGCTGAATTTTCAGCATCATTACTCCAGTCTTCAGTGTCACATGATCCTTCAGAAATCATTCTAATATGCTGATTAAATGAAACATTTCTGATTATTATCAATGTTGTAAACAGTTGTGCTGCTTAATATTTTTTCAGGATTATTTGATGAATAAAGTTAAAAAGAACAACATTCTATTTATTTAAAATAGAATCCTTTCTAAGTCTTTATTATCACTTTTGAATAAAAGTATTAATTTATTTCAAAAAAAAGAAAAAAGAAAAAAATTACTGACCCCAAACTTTTGAACGGTAGTGTATATTGATACAAAAAAATTATATTTTGAATAAATGCTGTACTTTTTAACTTTTTATTCATCAAAGAATCCTGAAAAAAGTATCTCAACTGTTTTAAATATTGATAATAATAATAATAACAACAACAAATATGTTTCTTGAACAGCAAATGAGCATATTAGAATGATTTC